TATTTTACATGGATATTAAATTCAAGAATTTCATTTAATTCTTTTAATAAAACATCATATCAATATTTAATTGGAATGCTTTTAATTGAACCAGTTGTTGGATCGGTTGTTAATGCACCATATAATATTGAATTATTAAATGCAGCCTATAATATATGGCAAAAATATGAAAATGAAACATATCCAGGATCGAATAATGTTGATTATTATGCATTATTTGCATTTGATGCAACATGGGCATTAATTAAATCTTTACAAAATTTATGTTCATCTAATATAACTAATTCTTCTTCATGTTTATCATTTGTTGAATCTTCATTTTGTTTTGATAATCATTTTGATGAATCTGATTTATTATTATCGACACTTAATGGAATAGAATTTATTGGTGTATCTGGTCCTATACAATTTAGTGAAAATGTATCAGATCGAATAAATGGTTCATATTATTCTTTAAAAAATATTCAACCATCTAAAAATGGTTTAAATTTTGTATCCGTATTAGAATATGCTGATCCTGGTAATTGGAGAATACCTATAACAGAAAGTGTTATTATATGGCCAGGAAATTCTTTAACACAACCTGTTGATCGAGCAATTCTTCGAGGTGTAAGTTTACGAGTTGGTATTATACAATCAGTTCCATTTACAATAGTACAAAATGTATCAGATGGTAATGGACAATATACAATACAATATACTGGTTATATACCAGAGCTTATTAAATTATTAACAGATACAGTTGGATTTAATGCAACTCTTATATTAGCACAAAATAAAACTTATACAGAAATAGTTCAATTAGTAAATACAGGTGATTTTGATATAATTGTTGGTGATGTTACTGTTACTGCTCAAAGAAGAGAATCAGTCGGATTTTCCAATGCTATATTTGATAATTCTTTACGTCTTATGTTGAAAAAAACACCCGGTATTAATGTTGATCTATTTGCATTTTTAAGACCATTTTCACGTAGATTATGGGGATTAGCTCTTGCCACTTGCATTTATGCTGGCATTTTAATGTGTCTTATAGAAAGAGTCGATAATGAAGATTTACAAGATCGATCAATTATATCTCAATTAACATTGAGTATATGGTATTGTTTTGGTAATATTGTTGGATATGGTGTAGAATTTAATGCTAGAACAGCTGCTGGACGTTTTTTAACTGTTGGTTTATATATATTAAGTTTAATATTAGTAGCATCATATACTGCTAATTTAGCCTCAGAATTAACAATAGCTAAATCACAATTTGTTATATCAGGCATTGATGATATTAAACATGGAAAAATAGCATATGGTCGTATTGGTATTCGTACAGGTACAGCTGCTGAAGATTATTTTAAAAAAGAAATATCTGGAGGAAGTCAAAATTATTATCCATTAACAACTCGACAAAACTTATATGATAGTTTACTTGCTGGCATAATTGATGTTGCCTTTTTAGATGAAGGAGTTGCTGAATATGTTACTAATAATATTTATTGTAATTTAACTTTAGTTGGTGATGGCTTTGATTCAGGTGCTTTTGCTATTGTTACTCCTAAACAATGGTTATATGCACAAGATTTAGATGTTAGTATATTAACATTAAAAGAATCAGGTCAACTTGATGATTTAAGACAAAAATGGTTTCAAATACAAAATTGTCCTGATTCAACAACAACATCAACAGCTATTGATATTGAATCAGTTAGTGGATTATTTGTCACTTTTGCAGTTATTACTGGTATAGCATTATTATTATTTTTATGGGCTAAAAAATATATTATTAAAGATTATTTATCAAAATTTATATGTAAAAAAGAGTCATCAACTAAAGGAAAATATTCAACGGAAAGAAGCTCAAATGATACTTCTGAAAATGTAAAAAATCATCAAGCAGTTTTGCCAGATTTTTCAAATTTTTAACTAGAAACTCTCTCACTCTCTCTCTTTATGTTCAGCATAAAGAACTTTCATTTTATTTTCAATCAATATATATTTATACCAGTGTTGTGTGTACATTCTACTGAACTATATTTGATCTTGTTCATTTTACTAAATTTATTAAACGATTTTGTTGTATTTATTTGACATATCATCAAACAGAATACCATATAAGTTATTTAGTATTCTGTTTGATGATATGTCAAATAAGAGTGTGGGTGTGGGTTTAAGAGGATAAAAGATTTCATCCCACACCCACACACTGCTCTGTAATTCCAATTTTTCGAACATTTTTTTTAATTCAAAAAAACATACTTTTGCATAGCCAGTGTGTTCCATTCATAAAAGGACAATACTATCAAGATCTTGATAAAATCGTAATAGTTTGTAGTCAAAATGTAGCTCAGATCAGAAGCAATCAGAATATGTATAATACATATAGATTGTAAAGAATTTAAGTGTTTATTTTTGAAATTTTGAAAGAATCTTATAAAAATGATTTTTCTGAAAATTATAGAAATGTCACCCTCGATATGTCCCTATTTATTAATGAAATTTAGAAAACTGGTTCGGGCGATTTTCATATTTCAACATGGTCTACAAATCCTGAAAGTTTCATCGAATTTGGAAACACTTGTGGATTTTGTGGTAGAGACCCCATGGAATACCCCATATATACTTTATATATATATTTATATGAAGCAATTATTCAGCAGGTTTTTGAATTGAATATCTTTACAAAAAAATAGAGAACGGTATTTTCGAATGAGAATTTCAAAATATTCTATAAATGATTATATTCTATCCAATAAACTGCAAATTACTTATTTCACTTTTTTCACAAAAAAAATATATAAAACATACGATGCAAAAGTAATGGCACAAAATGTTGACCCCTATTTCACTTCGATAGAAAGGTGATGAAAGAAAATTTTTTTTGCCAAAAGATAGAGCTTTGTCTCTTCTTTCAAATTGTATATAACTTATTTTTATAACACGTGTGTAAATGAAA